AGAGGAAGAAAGGGGGAGGGGAAGAGGAAGGAAGGGGGAGGGGAAGAGGAGGGAAGGGGGAGGGGAAGGAAAGGGAGGAGGGGAAAGAAAGGGGAAGGAAGGGGGAGGGGAAGAATGGCATACCCTCACTGGATTCTATCCTTAGGGGCAAAGAGGCAAAGCAGACTTTAGGACCCCCTCAGACTCATTAAGAGCTCTCCACTGCCCTGTCCTGCTTGGGTCTTACTGGCTCGAAGGCCTCCCCACCGCCATCTTGGAGGATCTATTCTGTGTGTATGCCGCATTTCTGTGGCTGTCTTCCCTCTCAGAACGGAAACCAGGCTGGGAATGTCTCCCTTTGGTATGTGCACGTCCAGCCCCTGGGAAACTGCCCGTACACAGTAGGTACTTTATAAATGCTTGGCTTTCTCACTCATTCATAAGCAAACCCCAAGTCATTCCAGGCCAATGGGGGCAACAGTCCAATCCGGCCTCTGGGTGACCTTGGGCAGGTCGTGTGATCTCACCGGACCTCAGTTTCCACATATTATATGTATGTACATGTATATGTGTGCACATATACACATGTGTAATATAATTATACACACTATGTTGACATAGATGGAAGAAGTCTTTCTATAGATACTGATCTATAGATACCCATATATGCACGTGTGTTTGTATATATACGAATATACACATGCGTAATGATAAAGGTGTATAGAGACACATATAAAAACGAGGAAGTCGGGGCAGGGTCTCGGAGGTCCCTGGCATCCCATGGGTGCCCTTGGACAAGTCACCAGCCTCCATGGGCCTCAGTTTCCAGGGCAGCTGGGGGTGAGGTGGAGAGAAAAGACAGATGATACAGATCACATGTGTGCCTACTGGCACGTGCACACATAAAAACCATGCGTTTATAGATATACAGTGCAAGATGTTCATGCAGTACATATACAAACATATAGGGCATGTGTACGTGTATGTGCATACCTGCATGTGCACACATAAAATTATATGGGCAGCTAGGTGGCACAGTGGATGGAGAGCTGGGGCAGGAGTCAGGAGGACCTGAGTTCAAATCTGTCCTCAGACACTTACTAGCTGTGTGACCCTGGGCACATCACTTCACCCTGTTTGCCTCAGTTTCCTCATCTATGAAATGAGCTGGAGAAGGAAATATTGGTATCTCTGCCAAGAAAACCCCAAACGGGACATAACTGAAAACAACTGAACATCAAAAAATAAAATCATATTCGCATTAATGTATACATATAATATTAAACGTGTTTATATCTATATAAAAAATAAATCCCGAGGACGCAGGGGCGACGCTTCTGAGGTTGCGCCGATGTGCGGTTCTCCCCTCTGCACACGTGTGCACACACATATGTGCTGATAAGAATCACAGGCCACATCACACGTAGAGCCACAGTGCGCACGTGTATGCAGGTGTGTTTGTGAGTCCACCTACACATGATGCCCACGCAAGCCAAGCGCGAGCTTGGGGGCGGATTTATCTACAGCACGGGCGGGGGCTGGGTCCGGCGCCTCCCACAACGCCCCGGCAGGGGTCAACGGCCTCCCTGGGCCTCGCTTTCCGCTGCCGGCAGCAGATGATGGGGGGGAGGGGCGGTGCGGCCCCCCACCCCAGGCTGGCCTTGGGCAAGGAGGGCCGAGCCCCTCCCCTCCTCGCTGGCAGCCCCCTCCCCTCGCTCCCGCGGCCCCGAGCCCGAGTCCTCCCAGCACCCCGGCCCCGGCCCCGCTCCTTCGTCTGCGGCGGGACCTCGGTGCGCAGGCCGGGGGCAGGGGGCCCTCGGGCGGGCATCCCCGGGGCGGGGCACCGGGGTCCTCCTCCCCGCTCCCGCTCCCGGGGCGGCCTCACCTCTGAGCACCGGCTCACGCAGCGCCGCGGGGATGGGGATGGCGGGCTCGGCCGGGGGCCCGGCGGGCGGCAGGGCGCGGCGGCGGCGGGGCGGCGGCCAGCGGCCCGGGGGGGTCTGGGCCCGGGGCCTCCCGTCCTCGCCCTCGTCCCCGTCGTCCTCCACTTGCACCTCCTCCACGTCCTCGCACTTGAGCGTCACCTGGATGCAGTCCAGCGGCGCGGGCTCGGCCTTCAGGGCCATGGTCCTGCCTAGCGGGGGGCGGAGAGCACGGGTCAGGGCGGCCGCGGCCAGGCCCGGCCGCCGCCACCGCCCGGCCCCGACCCCCGCCCCTCCGGCCCAGCCCCTTCCGCTCCCGGCCGGCCTGGGCCCACCGCCCGCTGCCCGCGTGCCACGGACCTGCAGCCGCCCAGCCCGGGTCCTCCCCGCCACCATAGAGTCTCCGGACCCCGGCGGGGGGAACGTCCTCAATCCGGGCCCCTCACCCACCGCCACTCTCCCGTCTATGGTTGCTCATTGTCCGAACCGGGGCCCCGAGCCCGCCCCAGGGCCCGCCCCCGCAGCCACCAGCCGCCAATCGCCGCCCGCCCTGGGCCGCCCGCGCCCCGCCCCCTGACGCCCAGCCGGGAAATGCTGGCGGGGAGCTCTCGGGCGCCCCCAGGCGGCGCAGAGGCCGCAGGGCAGCCGGATGAATGAAGGGCTGCCCCGGGGGGGGGGGGGGGGGGGGGAACAAAAATTCAAACCCACCTAAGTCTTGGGCCTGGCCTCCACTGCCTGATGGGTGAGGAGGGAGGCCCTGGCCTCTGCCTTCGCCCCTAGAGCGGGGGATGCCGCAGCTAAGGAGGAGCATTGGTCAAGCGCCTACTGTGTGCTCAACTGAGGAGTACTGGTTAAGTGCCTACTGTGTGCCCAGCCAGGGAGCATTCATTAAGCACCCACTGTGTGCCCCGGCCAAGGAGCATTCGTTAAGTGCCTACTGTGTGCAAGCCAAGAAGC